ACTTGTTAACAAATAAATATTCTGTCATGTTCCAAAGCAAAGTCCCCAACTGAACGACAAAGTCCTCACTGACGGAGCAAAATATTGTTAACTACATTAATACGGCGACGCACAAAGTTCCAGACTGAAAAGTGAATCAGTACTATCATCCACAAATCCAGAATGAAGTGAGGTTTAAGAAATCCTATGTAATGTCACCATATTCCCTTTTCAGTGGTGAACGCTCGCTTGTGGTAACCACGCTGTAACAGAGCGTGATCGGATCGTTGTGATCGTCCAAAACACATTTTTAGCTTGACGAATGGTGGCCGGCGCTACAAATCAAAGGCAGCCCCAAGGTTTGAAAACAGAGCGAATGCGATCTCGCGAGCAGGGTTTTTCCGGAACAGTGACGCATGCGCAATGCTTTCGTCCGTGGAGGTCGTAAAAAGACAATTTCCACGCTAAATTTCTCAAAATCTAGTTGCATAACATAGGGTCAAATTTTGACGATTGTTAGGGAACATAAAGACAAAACTGTAAAAAATGTTTTCAAACAAATCCGATAAACAGTTTTTAGTTATTATAAAAAAGAGCCAAAACTCCACATTTTTTGGCTTTTGTGAAAATTCTGTCTATAGCATTTTTCGCTCTCTCTCTCTCCAAAAACTATTATTTCTAAGTACTTTACAAAACCTGAAATTTTCAGATGGGGTCGTATGGCTAGGTTTCAAGAAAAAGGCCTTAAAAGGTCTAGTTTCCAGTCCCTTTTTTTAGTGCTCGGTCACTATATTTCGCTTTATACTAGGCAATAAAATGTTTTTAGAAGATAAAATGATAATTTACATCAATAGCAGTAATTAACAGTTCAGTTAAGGCATTCAGTTGCTGAAAATGTTTCAAGTTTAAAAAGTCGATAGTTTTCCTCCGAAAACTGTAATAACCACCTTAATTCTATGCAGGCCTGGGGCGAACTTTTAAGGTCCCCCCTAACGAAAAAAGCTGAATAACTTCAAAACTGTTCAAGTAATCACTACCAAACTTAGCGAATTTTCCTAAAAATTATCAGGGAACATTTAGAGTTGTCGTGACGTGTACATCAACGCTAAAGTTACCATGGCAACTAAGTTTTAGCAGCCATGTTATTTTTAATTTGCACTTTTTCTTTAAAAATATTGGTATTCTATTCTAATTTTTTGAATTATTTTGTTACTCTTAGTTTAGTATTATTTTATCAAAATTATGATAACTCTTAATGTAGTACTGTCTTTTTAGTGACTAACTTGAGAAAAAACGTGAATTTAAAATAACCAAATGGCAGATGCGAGGTTAAGTTTTTAACAGCGTTTATTTCTCTCGGAATTTCATAACTTGAGGATATTTTTACTTCCTTGATACACAGATGAAATTTTCTATCACAATTACCTCGATTTGTACGGTTTCTAAGTGAAATGGAAAAAACGGTATTTTAAGTAATTCAAAATGGCGGATCCGAAATGGCTAATGGTTTTTGTTCTTTATCTACGCAATAAATGATGTCATCTTGACATCACTGCTATTTTAAGAAGATCACAAATGTGTTAACGTCTTGATATCATTAGACACCTTATTATTTTTTTATGTATTTTTTTTTTCGCTTTGTGACTTCTTTGAGGGAATTTGGTTGTTGTGTCAATCAAGTTACGCCTTGATGTTGGAAATGATGAATACATTTTCCTGAGTGTGTAATTTTTTTGTGGCCGTATCTTGTAATATATAGATTTAGCCAGGGCTAAAAGCGAAGCTCCCATTAGTAAATTTGTAATTAAATCAAACAGTAAACTTGTATTCCACAAATCAGTTTACTTTAGAGCTCATTCATGTAACTTTTGAGGGATTAAGGCTAAGTGATTTGACAGAAAGGTAATTTGCTAACAGTCGAAGAGTGCACCAAATCTTACATCGAGTTTATGGCCTTTATATGTACACCCAAAAAATAGCAATCATCACATTTAACGGCCATAATGGCTCTTGATCACAGTAGATTAGGCCTAGAAAACAAATTCTTGGAAAGCAAATTAGGCAGAATTTTTTCCCGTTTGACAAGTTTGCCTTACCATATCTTGCTAACAAATCTGGTGGCGTATAAACCAACCTTTTATACTTTTTATACATCACATCTGAGGTGAAAAAGTACTCTGAGGCGCTGTTGTTATCATACAGACCTCGGACAGGATGCAGTATTTCACAATTTTGAAATATAGATTGCACTCATTCAATACTCAGGACCATTGAAGTAAGCGTGGGCTTTTAGCGAAACAGCTAAAAAAAAATCCAAAATCACCAACAGTATATAATGGCCAGCTGGTTGCAAGCTGTGGAGTGTTTGAATGAACGTTAATAGAGTTACACTTCAACATAAGAAAAAACGTATTGTGTTTATTTTTTTTAATGGTTTTATAACGATGTGTAAACTTAAAAAGCGTTTGATACGAGCGGCATTTTGAGTACTCCTGCAAGCGATGTTCATGAACGACTAAAAACATTAACGGCAAAGTGATTAAAATTGCAAGAGAGACTACTAACAATCAATAATTCGGTGAAACATTTACATTTTGTTGTCTCTGTCTCTAAGAATCCTGAGTCTTTATGCTTAAAGCTTAAGTTTATGTTTTAAGCCGGCTTCCCGGTGCTCGCTGTTTTCAAAGATGAACTCGAGGCGAGAAAATTGCTCGAAGCTTTCTTTCTACAGCCAAAATAATAACTCAACGTTTTTTTTCTTTCTATTTGCGGTGAGAAAATATCGACTAAAGCCTTTTTAAAGTTCTGCAAGCTTAAATCAAACCTCATACTGTAGGTCAGATCATTATCTCAAATCTTAATTCAAACGTGCATAAGCTAGCCTCATAAACTGCGCTCGGCTTCATGAAATTAGAAATATTAAGAAAAAAACAAAAACTTACTAAAACAAATACTTACTAAATTACTCAGACTTACCATTCGAGATGCAGCTCCTGGAAACTATCAAGTATGGCCAGAATCGCTTCAGACTTTTCAATCAAGCAAGGCGAAAAACGAAAACGAATCGACCCCATCCGAAATCGGATTTCCGACTTTGACAAGCGACATATTTCTTAACCAAAAACCCAATAAAGAAACTAGCCATAAATAACAGAAGACTCTTGATAGCAGCTGAATTTCATTAAAATTCGTACATCCAGTAGAAAAAGAAAGTTAAAAACATCACAAGTTGACACAAAACTCTGTCAGCTTCAGCAGTCACAGTAAACAAGTTTCACAATGCGGCATAAATTTTCCGCATGAACTCACCTGTCAAATTTTGACCAATCAGAGCATAAAAATTGGACGTAGAGCGTGGCCAACGAGTGACCATGGTGAAAAGAGTCAAAAGTCACTGTCTTCCTTGCCTGTAATAGCCTAGCTGACTGAACTTTTGCGTCCGTCTGTGTGTCTCCACCTCTGTGTGTCACTTAACCACAACATATTTTAAACAATATTTTATACAAAAAACAATTGGCGCTTTCCACCCTGTTCAGAAAAAAGTAAAGTAATAACGCCTGTTTTCTAAAACAGAGTATAAAAGAGAACTGTTTAATAAAAAACATCAGTTGAGAAATGTGAATAAGATTGTTGTTATAGTTATCATTATCATTATTTTTTGCGCGGACGTGACTCAAAATTTCTTTTTCGTATAGCAAAGGGATAAATGTTAATAATAATAATACATGGACAAAAGGACTAACGAACTACCGATTGTGGTGAAAGACATTCGTGCGTTAAGGGACTCATTCGAGCCCTGATTGGATGAAGTGTGATGGAATTAATTTGCATGGACCGAGATTAAAAACTCTAGTGTTAAAAAATATAAGTCAGAATAGTTTAGAAGTGGGAAGGATTTGGACAGAGAGACAATTTTCGTTTATTCGAGTAATAGTTTTTGAATTCGCTTGGTAGCTTTTTTGTCAATTTGAATTAAGTCAAATTGTAAAATTCGTAGCTAAGAGTTTGTGTACAATTTTTGAATACAGTCCATTCTCGTGAACAATATATGTGATTCTGCCTTTCATTTCGATTACTCTTTCGACCCAAAAATTTTCGAAAATCTTATGTTTTTAGTGAAATCAGTATTACCATGAAACGATAAAAACCCAAAGTACTGGGAAGCATGAAAAGTGGACATTTGGGGCTATGAAGACCATGCAGGGAATGTCCGTCATCATTATGCAATAATAGAGTGCTCAAACCTTTCTTGTAGAAAGGACACCACCAACAGCATCGCAAACAAGAATTTTGTGCTATTTTTGTAACAAAATGGTATAATGGTAAATTTGAACCTACAAAATCTCTCTTGGTATATTTCAAAATAATTTTCACTTTTGGTATCCTTGTGATGACTTATTTCAGAGACCATTATAAGATATCCCATAATACTAAAAACACAATTTGGCGGGAACTTTGTGACGTCATTTTCCCGCCAAAAACGCCAAAATCTGAAAAACAAAAAACATACGTTTTTTTGGAATGGTGAGTTCTATATTGTTGCAAAATTTAAAGTGAATTGCGTTAAAATTAAAGAAGACGAATAAAGGTCGGCGTTTTTGATGTCACATATACCCACCGTGTCGGGACGACCGAGAACAAATCCAGCAGGTGGCCAAAGTGAGACTCGAACCCGAGACCACGGGATTGCGAGTTCGACGCGCTGACCACTCGGCCACTACTGACCAACTACTTTATCGTTACATTAAAAAGCCTTCTAATTTTTCTCTGGCCTTTATGTCTGAGAAACATAATATATAAGGAAACCAGGCTCCAGTTGTTCAAAAGATGGATAACGCCATCCGCCGGATAAATCTCTATCCAGGGGATAGAAAAATTGGTTTTCCTAATTCTTAAACACTGGATAGTGATTTATCCGCAGGATATCGCTATCCAGCGTTTGAATAAGCGTGGCCAGAAGTGCATCTTTTCATAATACAAAGTAAGACTCCTTTATTTATTTTATAGACCAAAAGGTAAAATATAATGAAATTTATCGTTCGCCGACCCTAGTATTTTATTTCTCATACAACGTCTCAACGGTCGCCTGTAACGCGATATCGACTCTCTTGGGAGAAAGTAAATTTATATTCCACATTCGTAACGTGAGCTTGGGATGCCTGTGGTATGATGAGTTACAGAGTTACAGAGGAGGCCCCAAGCCCTACCCCCCACTCCTTCCCCGTTCGCAGAAAGAACAAGAAGAAGAAGCAGCAGCAGCAGCAGCAGCAGCAGCCGGATATGAATAGGGTTAAGATTAACCTGGTATCAACTTCCGGCTATTAAATTTAATGCCAGCACATTAAAGTTCGTCGGTGAGCGTTAAACACCAAATTTAGACGTTAACAAAAGAAAGCAGAGTTGACGTTACTTGATCAAAGTGTTGATTTTTATTTTTCTTTGAATCAAGAGTTTTCCAAGCACAACTTAAAAGTACCCTCAACTAATCCCCTACTATTCTTCATTGGCGTCCATGTATATCGTTTTATTCTGAATCAATCTCATCTGGGATCCAAGCCACTTCTACGCCTTTTCCTCGCGTCGTTATAATAGGCAGCATCGCTGAAACAAAACAAAGATAGGGAAGAGGAGTTTATACCGAAAATATCAAATTTACTAAAATTTACTTGTAAAAGGATTAGAAAAAACTAAAGAAAACCAATTTTAGATCAATTTCTGCCTGCGGATGCCCCGACCAGCAAGCCTACAGTGCTAAGGAGCAAGAATTCTAATATTATAGTAATGACTTTTGAATAACACCATTTGAACCGATGTGATTATGTCTTTCCTTTTTTGCCAGTCCTATATCAACTATTATTTAAATATGTCGGCGTAGTTGTTTGAAAAATTTTTCATTCGGCAAACACTTTTTAAATACGTACCGTTAGTTAGAGGCAGCATCACTGAAAGTTTACGGTCCGTTTATAATACAATAATTTATAAACTTAATAGATTGAGCCGAGGCTTAAGGCGAAGCTCCCGTCAATGAAAAACATGACTATGAAAAAAAATCAAAGAAAAATTCAAAATAGAGTTGTGCCTGCGATCAGTTGAAAAGTAGAACAATGTCAGCGGTAAACTTCAAAAAACACGTAACCTCGATGAGTTGACACCTGAGCCCGCGATACCGTCATGTTATACAGGTCAGTGGACATTTTGTTTTGACAGCTGTATATTGACCACAACAAGGAGGTGCAATATCAGGTTGCAGGCTCCCACACTAGCTAGGAAGTGTATCATTTCACATTCGTTTCCCCGTGGTGAGGACGGACCGGCGGGCGGGTAGACGTACGGTCACGCGACTGCCAAAATTTCTTGGATAGGTAACCAGATTTTCTTAGCTATGGTGCTCCTTTCGAGCTCCGCTAAAAATCGTATCATTACAGTTCGGAGATTGCTCTACAGACAAAAGGAAGCGCGAAATTTGAAAACAAAAAACAGCGTTTAAGGCAGCCGGCTTGCTTTGTCCGAAGAAAGTGTTGTTGACCAACTAAAACAAAATGACAACTAAGTAAAACAATAAACAAAAAAAACACCGAGAGAATTAATGGAAAGAAATTGGCCAATGCGAGAAAAGCTAGTCCTAGAATAGAAGACAATGACAACGAAAGTCTCAAAAATTGTTTCAATGTTTTTCATGCCCTAAATTCGTACCAAATATGGATTTTGGCATTTGAAAGAACATGACCACCAGTACTTAACTGTACAAGGCCGATAATTTTGGCAGTAAAGATTGGTGAGAAGCACCCTGGTAGCCGAGCCGACGTTTTGTTTCTCATGTAAACTGTTTGTCCAGTTTTCTATATGATTGTAGGAAGATACCAACATTACGTACTACCAATACCCTGAATCAAGCTGCGTCCTTCTTGCCATTGTAACAGTAAGCATAACCGGGACAATTAAAATAATTATCCAAAAGTTTATATTTCGGTTTTATCACCAATGCAATAAAAACCAATAAATTTATTTGTTGAAACCCTTTTATAAGTCGTTGTCGTTGATCACGCTTAAAACTAGGTAATTTTTTTTGTTTATTTTAAATTATTGTTGTATGCTCGGTATTAAACTTATCATGATAAAAGGCAGCATCCCTGCAACAAGATTATCTAAGACATCGATGAGTCTAATCCAGAAAAGAACTGCTGGGAGCGTGTCCCTACTATCAAAAAAAAAGTGACCCGGTTGAAGCCGTGTCATCAGTCTAGCCAAGCCGACTTAATGTTTTTCATTTAAACTATTCGCCAAGATTTCTATGAAAATGTAGAAAATACCGACATTTTTCTATACGTACTGGTAAAATGAGCATGAATCAAGCTTCTTTGCGTCCTTCTCGTCATAGTATTAATGCGCTTAGGGACGGACCATTAGAAAACTTATTGGGGGGGGGGGGGGGGGGGGGAAGAAAAAAAAAAAAT